GTCCCGCTCTTCGGCAGCTGTGAAGCCTTTCCCCCACCCCCCGCCGCCCGTCACGGCACCGCCGTGCTGCGGCGTGTCTGCCCCCGCTCTGCCCGCTTTGGGTACCGGGGGCTGTTCCTGCCGCCCCCCACCCCGCAGCAGCTCAGCGATGGGTAACGTTGGCAGCTCTGTAAAAGGAGGGTGGTGTGGTTTTGTGTTTTTTTTCCCACTTCTCAGTTTCTTAGAGTTCACTTTCCTGAGAAGTGCGGGGCGATGCCCTCCTCTGGGCGAGTTGTGAATATAATAAAAGATGATGAAAGTGAAGCTGGGGTTGCCCAGTCTGATGTGTAGAGCTCAACTCGGTCATTTCCCCCGCCAACATCACATCGATCTCGTTAATACCTCTTCAAGATGTTGAGCTCAAGTGAGTAAATGCTCCTGAGATGGAGCTCTGATCGACACCGTTAGTGTTGCTCCTGTACTGATTTTTTTTTTTTTTCAAAGTGAATCTGTGCTCTGTGGCTTATTAGCCACTTGATTCGATGGTGCTTTTTCTGCTAGGTGAAGAGCTAGTTATTAAAAGCATATTTTATAAGTAGGTAACTGTAAATGGTGGTCATTAGTCTTGAAACCTCTTTCTTGAGTGGAATACTGAGCTTTAAAGTGGCTCACTACAAAACATCATCCAAACAACAGATTGTCCTACCAGGTACAGCATTGCAGTGGTGGCTATAGTAATGCAGTTTTTAGAGTTGAATTAGTAACAGTTATTATTTGTGACATGCAGCACTTAATGACACTTAGATATGCATTTAAACGTGCATAGCAGAGTTAGTCTTCATTCCCAAAACTTGTTTGTGTCAGTGCTTTACAAAACATACTATGGAAACCTATTGAGTGGTGTTAATTACACTACCGTGTCTGAACTGAATTGCTTCATTACTCTGTCTTGAGCCAGGTGCTTTGTTTGAATTGTTTTTAGATTATTAGGCTAAACATTTGGTAGAACTAGGTGGTTTGTTTTAAATACAGTAGGTCACTGTTAATCACTCGGAGCTTTTAAACTTTTTTAATACTTCGTTTGAAAGCTCTAGTTCTGCACATTTAATGCAGTTTGTTTGGATGTTATTTTGAATCTGTCTTAAAAATGAATGGATTAGAAAACAATTGCCATATTTCATCTATTGCCAGATTAATTACTTATTAAATACTACATCACAGAATACTACTTTATTGGAAGACGAAGCCCAACAGTGATGTACGCTTGAATCTCAATCTCTTTCTCTTAAGCTGAAGAAGTACGTTGCTTTCCTTGGCTGAATTTCCTGCTCACAATTTCTACAGCTAATTAATAAAGGAAGCTAAAGGCATCAGTGAAAATAATCCCTAGCCAGTGGAGTTAAGTGAGGGTTGTGTAAAAGTGAAAGTATTGATGTTAGTCAACATCAAGTTTTTAGAATAGCTGTAAGGGCTTGAAGGACAACTTTGGGAAAAACCACCGCGTCTTCCATGGTATGTACTTGAATATCAAAGGAAATAGTGTTTGTTATCAAGTTTGCTGTTTGATTATTAAGATCTGTTTGTTTGATTTTTAAGATCTGTTGATATCAGACTTCTAATAGGCTTTTACAGGAAGCTTAGGGGAGGATTTTGCTGAGGTCTTGGAGTGGTTCTTATATCATACCTTCATGCTTTAAATCTTGAGCAGATCCAGCTTAAACCTCCTTGGTTTCTGCTTTCTTTCCCACCTACCCCTATGACTTTTACTCAGGGTTAGGGCTTGTTGTGTGCCCACACAAATGCTGCTGCCTGTTCAAGAGAAGCTGGTACAGGAGTAGCGATGTCTTTGGGCATCTGTGCAGGATTGAAGTATGTATGCATCTGTTTCCTGAGACAATACTCACAGCAGTAATTATCATATGCTTTTCTGTCAGATGTGTTTAATTTTTTCAAAGTTTTTGTACCTTAAGCATTATTAAAACTAGTGCAGTGTGTTTTTATTCTAAATTTAAATGGGAACGTTCTCCACAGTTTCTTTTTCTTAAAAACTTCCCTGTCTCAAAACCAAAATCATACTACCTCCCATCATGTTCATGAATGATTGATTTAAGGCTGTGTAATAAAGATAACCTTTGAGCTTCTAATGTTAAAACAGATGTTTTGGTTTTTTCACTTCCTCCTATGAGGAAACACTGCAGTGTTGACTTTACTGTGTTTTTTAACTCTATTTTCTCTTCTTGTGAGATAGATGGTTCTAGCAAATCAAATGGGCTTTGCTGTCCACAGTTTGTGCTTAAATACCTGTACACTTCAGACAGGTGAGGACAAAAGAAGTAAGAATGTATCTGAAAACTTGGAATCAATGCTTTTGGTTTCAACCTTGAGAGAAAATGTTATCCTTTATAAAATTCAGAACATGGGGAGTAATTTTCTGAATGGTAACTGGGACTGATAAGCAGCTTATGTAGCCAGTTTCAGATATGATTGATTCATCTTAACACATGGAGGGAGAAAAAAAAATATCCCAGTTTGGTTCTGATCTCTATGTGAAGTAGAAAAGTTCTGACAATTACGGTACTGGAAGACAGGGTTAAAAAGATTAGGAGAAGGGGAAAGTTTTCAATGTTCTGCTCAGTTGAGAGGGAGAAACTGAGAGTGATTTAAGATGCCTACAACAGCAGTCCTCTGTGCGTGTTCCTCTGACTTTTACATGCCCAGATATTTAAATAAATAAATGCCTATGAGTTTAGCCCTTAAAGCTGCATGTTCATAACAGAAGCGTGCTGTGAAGCCTGCTCTGGTTGTTTAGTCTTTTAGACACCTTTTTCGGGTGGTAGAATGTGAGCTATTCAGAGAAATGTGCTAACAGTGGGCTCTCTTTATTTCAAATATTTAGCTTTAAGAAAGAGATAAGTGTAGACTTGTTATTACTATTACAGATCCTCTTATTTAATGCCTATTTCCTGAGAAATAGTTGTGTAAATGTTATGTTTTGATGATCTAATGTGATTGAATGGTTTTTAATGATGTGATCAAAGGGAAATACTTCTTGCATTCTGCTGTAAAACAAACGGAAAACTGTTACAGACCTTTTATGTCACGTGGTGATCTGAAGTGAAACTGCAATATGAGGAAATTGTCTGCCGAAGCGTTCTGTTGGTTTCTAATTATCATATTATTTATGGCAGAAGTATGATGGCTCAGTCAGATTTAGATCTAAAAGAGACGGCTCTGAAAGAGGATTTGAAGTTTTACTTCATGAACCCATGTGAAAAATATAGAGCAAGACGTCAAATACCGTGGAAACTGGCTTTGCAGATTTTGAAGATACTTATGGTTACTACACAGGTAATCCTTCCTCTGTTTTTACTCTTAGCGTAGCAATGATGTGCAGGAGAAGCAGCTCTGTGGTTCTGGGCCTTTGCCATCCCCGGATATTTGTTACTGACTTGAACTTCCTGCTTCAGTCCAGAAAGAAAAAATACTATGAAAGGTGTGTCTGGAGGGAAGAATAACGTAAACTAAATTACAAAAGCCTCCTGGAGATTTTTGGGGCAGTATTTGACCAGGTACTTTGCTGTTTTTAAGATAACACTTTGAAGCAAATTACTCTTCCCACTAAATCCAACACTGTCTTTGGGCTTGCCGTCACAGTCCTGCTCTGTGTTCTGCTTTACAGATTATAGTTTCACTGGACTCTTTCAACAGTGATATTTCTTGAAATCTAGTCAGTAACTTGAAATGTGAACGCTCAGTGGGAAAATGCTATGCATGATGGGGATGCCCTGGCTGCAAGCATCAGATGTACCCCTTGCATTTCACACAGTCGGGTACCTGGATAGGTAGAGGCAAAGAAGAGGGTGTTCTTAAACCGCATCAATATCACAGTGTAGTTGGTTATTTTATAGTCCGCTAAGAAATGGTGACTGGAGGTTGAAAGAAGCAAAATGGGACACGTGTATAAGTAGAAATTACTTTTCTGGACCTTTGAAATGCAGGACTCTGACATCTGATGCTTTGCAAAACATCTAAATATGCAACTCCTAAAAACATGCTGAGTTGCAGGGTTCCAGGTTTGTTTGACTTGCCCGCTAGAATGAAGTGTAACCCCGGCTTATGTGCCCCTGTGTTCTATTGACCGCTCTGGCTCTTCATCTCCCCGCTGGCAGGATGGGACTGGCTCTGGCCCCGCCGGCCGAGGGTCCGGCCTCTGGTGCCACCATGCTGGAGTCCCCGACGGGGCCCTGCCCACAGGTTGGAGTGGGATGTGATGATTGGTGTTGTCTAGGCAAGGCTAGCTGAAATAAGCTATTTATGCTAGTTCTGGCACAATTGTGACCCATGTGACAGAGCTGCTGAGAACAGGGAGCGTGTTAAGGTGTGTGTGTGTGTGTGGGGGGTGAGTGGGTGGGCAGTGCGAGCTCAGTGTAAGTGAAGAGGAGAGGGTTGCCCCATCTCTCTTTCCTGGCAGCTGCACCTCGGATGCGGGTTATTGCCCTGCCTTCAAAGACAGGGCAGTAACCTTTGTGTGTGAGTAATGAGGCAAAATACAGTTTCACATGTCTCTGAAAAGGTTCAGTACTTTCAGTCTGTCCTAACCTACTGAGTAAATTCTTGGGGGAATCGCTGAACGTGATTTTTCTGTCTGCTGTCCCTGTCTCCCGCTAGCCTTTGTGAGCAGAAGGGGTGCTCTGCTGCACAGCTTTCAAAGGCCACAAGATTTTCTGGGTTGCTGCTTAAGATTTTTCTTGTCAGCCCTGGGTCTTGCTCAGATGCCGGGCAGCTAGAGTTTCTGAAGGAAAATGTGTTGCTGCTCTGCAGGGAGGTCTTGAAGGTGAGCTAATAGTAAATAGACAGGTTCAAGAAGCATCTCTGTTTGAGTGAGGGCAAGAGCCTTGGAGGACAATCTAGGAGTAAGTTAAGCTGCCTTCTAGCTGCTTCTGCCTGATGCCAGCCTGTTAGTTGTGATGCTTTTTGCAGCTTCTTCGTTGTGGTGCAGCAGCTGGGGTATCTGTGTCTGGCTGAAAAGCAGAAGAGGCTTCTGTCCCACTGTGGGGAATAAGTTTTGCTCCAGTGCTGTGCAGAAATCCCCTAGGGAGTCCCCCAAGGAAAACCCGATGAGTGTGTCTTATTTCTCTGTATTGCAGCTGGAAGATCCCTGACTTCTTAGAGATACTAGTGCTGCAGATTTATTTGTAGCACTCAGTTAGTGATTTTTTTGCAGTCAACTGAAGATATAGGCTCAGCGGGTAATGGCTGGAGAGCATCCCTGAGGCGAAGGACCTGGGTTTGCTGATTGACGAGAAGCTCAGCATGAGCCAGCAATGTGTGATCGCAGCCCAGAAGGCCAACCATATCCTGGGCTGCATCAGAAGTGTGGCCAGCGGGTCAAGGGAGGTGATTCTGCCCCTCTATTCCACGCTCGTGAGACCCCACCTGGAGTACTGCATCCAGCTCTGCAGTCTCCAACATAAGAAGGACATGGACCTGTTGGAGTGTGTCCAGAGGAGAGCGACGAGGATGATCTGAGGGCCAGAGCACCTCTCTTATGAGGAGAGGCTGAGAGAGTTGGGGCTGTTCAGCCTGGAGAAGAGAAGGCTCTGGGGAGATCTTATTGTGGTCTTCCAGTACCTAAAGGGGGCCTACAGGAGAGCTGGGGAAGGACTTTTTACTAGGGCATGTAGTGTAGTGATAGGACGAGGGGGAATGGCTGTAAACTGGAAGAGGGCAGGTTTAGATAAACATTAGGAAGAAATTTTTCACTCTAAGGGTGGTGAGGCACTGGAACAGGTTGCCCAGAGAGGTTGTTGAGACCCCATCCCTGGAGGTGTTCAAGGCCAGGCTGGACGTGGCCTTAGGCAACCTGGTCTACTGGGAGGTGTCTCTCTCTATGGCAGGGGGGTTGGAACTCGATGATCTTCAGGGTCCTTTCCAACCTAAACCATTCTATGAACTTGGCTACAAGTATGAAGATTCAATTCTTAATCTGAAGACTGTGTGTACCAGGCAGAGCTGACAGCCCCATTTCTCTGTCCTGGCTGTGACTTTACAAACAGCACAGCCAAACAGCTTTGCACTAAATAGCCCTGCTGCAGGTATTCTTTTAGACTGGCCCAGATCTAAGCAATTACTGTCTAGGACATAAGATGAAATATTCCAGCGAAGATGGGGGAGGGGGAATAATAGGTGTGCTTTCCAGTTTCCATTGTTTTGAATGAAGGAGTTTGAATGCCAGTGGAGCCTGTCTGTTTGCTTTGGGGGAATTTCGAAGTTCACAGTTCTTTTGCTTGCAGTTTCTCACTCGTGCTTCTTCCCTGCTTCTACCAGTTTCTTGCAGGGCTTGGAAACTCCATGCAGTTATGAGACAGTTTCACATTTGCTGTTACTAAGCAGCTTAAAACTAAGATGAAGAGTTAGCTATATGGGGCCTGGGGCATCCTCCTGCTACCATGTTTGTGAAGAAACTCTTGCTGATTGGTTTCATCTTCCAGGCTCTGTGGTGGTGAGAATGGAAGAATCCATGTGGTAGGGCAACACAAATCCTGAGGAATCATGCTGCTGGCTTCTTACTATAGCCTCCTTAACCAGCACCTGGGTCAGGCAGGTGATGCCTTTTGTTGCTGTGGGATCCCACATGGGTTTGCTCTGATCCTGTGCTGTGCCAGTGGCAGGAAGAAGCTGCTGGAATTGTTCCCATAGCAAAGCAGGGCATCCCTGGGGTAACAGGCTGTGGTGTTAGGTTAGCTCATCTACCATTTGCATCCTTAAGAAAAGTTTTGGCAAATTCCAGTTAGAGTTGTTGGTCCAGGATGTGTGAAAGGTGGCCATGATCTAGCTGTCTGTTTAGTTGCTGAACTCAGTTTTAGAATCAGTAGAAGACACTGATTTCTGTTTCTCTTATGCTGCATGTGGTAACCTTGATTTAGTAGTCTTATTGCATTAGTTAACAGATACTTTGCTCCTATTGTAGCAGGGTTACAGCAACAGACACCTTTTTGCTTTGTATTTATTATAATTCAGAGCTGTTTCCAAAATGCTGCTGAATTGACCAGTGTTCAAAATTTTAATTTTTTTTTTTTTTCCTCTTGTCAGCTTATCTTTTTTGGTTTGAGTAACCAGTTGGTGGTTTCATTCAAAGAAGAAAACACTATTGCTTTTAAACACCTATTCCTGAAAGGCTATTCTGGAGTTGATGAAGATGACTACAGCTGCAGTATATATACACAACAGGATGCTTATGACAGCATTTTTTATGTTATTAATCAGGTAAGTGTGTTCATTTATAATGTTAAAGCTGAAGCTATAGCTGTAAACTTCTGCTAAGGTTTTGTTTTTCTGTCTCCATTCTTGGATTTCACTTTTGATATTTCATTGGATCAGCTTAGGTGGGGTGTCCTGAATTTTGTGTGTAGATGTCTGTGTTTTTGTCTCTTGGAGGCAAATTTAAACAAAAATTTTACTCAGTGTGTAGAACTGAAATCCAGAAAGTTTGAAAAATTAGTCATCTTGCATGAACTGGAAGCTTTGTTTAGGTCTTACTTTGAAGAGCTATGGGTCTGAATATACCTATGCATGGCATTCAAAAAATTTGTGCTTACAGCTATGCTGAATTGCAGCTTTGTAGTGAGTGCCAGAGGCCTCAAAATGGGGAATATGGTACTTCCAGGAATGTAGGGGCACTCGCTCTGGTTACGGATGATATTTTAAAGAACAGTCAATTTACAATTGTGGGAGGAAAGTGAACAAATCTAGGATGACAATCCAGTAAATATTTTTGTATTTAGTATTAATACATTCAGAAGTAATGAGATGAAAGAGAGTGTGTGTGTAAAATAAAATGTCTCTTGTGTTTGGGGATGACGATAAGTCCAGAAGTGGTTCTGATGGGATGAACGGAAAGTGACTTTAAACCATCCTTCACTTTCCCTGACCTTGGGACATCAGCTTTGATGCTTGGTGTGAAGCAGTTTTGCCTGCCACCAGTTATGCCCAGCAGGCATCTGGGAGTGGTGTGAGGACTATACCTCCTTCTTAAACATGCACTCACGTGGGGGCTTGCTGCTCCTCGGCCATCTCCTCTAATCTACAGCAGAGCCGTCAACAGATCAAAAGTGCTATCTCTGCTGTGTTGGATGAGGCAAAGACTCTAACTCTTGCTATGTTAAATGAGTGTTAAATAGTTTTCTGTCTTCCTTTGAACTCTCAGTATTGCTACCATTTCTGCTATAAACTGCTTTTTTTTTTTTTCCTTCCTCGCTTGCTTTGTCTCACTTTCCTTCTTTTGTAGGCACTAAGGCTGAGGTGAAGTCCAGATAGAAGACAGTAGAGAATTAATAGCTTTGTATCATCAAGAATGAGCCAATATGTGATACAGGCATCAGAAAAAGGTCTCTTCATAAAATGTCTATCCTGTATAAATGCAGACATATCCTCTAAGGAGATTAAACTTGTATAATCTGGGTTCTCTAGTGTCATATGTAGTTCCTGAGGCTTTTTTTGTCACGTACAAGACTTCAAAAAAAGTGTGGCTCAGGTGAACATTATGACTGGGCGTGTTTTTTTAGTTGTGGTTTTTTTTTTTTTTTTTAAGGATTCCTTCTAGGACAGCCAAGCCAGGTGACTCCTAAGCTAAAAAGCAAGTCTTTTTTTTATTTTATTTTGAGATGGGCAACTAGAAGCCATAGGCTTTGGTGTTTTGTTTTGAGTTTTAATTTGAAATGTGTGTGTGTGTAGGGGGGTTGTGTTGCAGTTGTGGAGCAAGCAGAAGGATATGATACTACAGAAGGTGGTAATAGCACACAGCAAAACTGGAGTTGTAAAAATTGAATTTTAGGCTTTGTGTAATGTACCACTGGGATATTTTCACACTTTGGAGAAAAAAACAAAACAAAACCCAACAAACCACCAACAAAAAGCCCCAAACATACTTTTACACTTGGAAGAGTACACAGCTTTTCCTTATTCCTCTCTTGGGTCCAATTTGGAAGCAGCTGTATGGGGTTGTTAACGCTCGTACCCTGCCCTGTGGCAGAGTCCGTAGGACCAGGATGTTCTGCTGGCTGCTCTGTCTGAGGCTGCTTAGAACTTGTTGTTTGACAGTGGCATGTGAGTAACCCAGAGCCATGTGCTACACTGTCAGGAGGGCAGAGCCTGAAAGCACACATGGGCAGAGCACTGGCTGTCAGATACAGTGATCTGGGGTCCTGAGGGGGATGTGGAGTTGTCACTAACTACTGTTTCCGCTCACTTGACCTGCCTTAGTCAGACTTAGCTTCCTTACTTTGCTCTGAGTTTAGATAACATTCTGACGGGGTGTGGAGGCCGTGCTTTTCTCGCGGGCTGTCTAAACTTGTTGCAGGCTCAGCTGTGAGGACTCAGAGTGGCACCACGAGGCAGAGCTTTAGATGGAAACATGGTAGTTCCTTTTGGCCATGGAGTGTGTGGTTGGTAGTGACTGCTGGGATTTTGTACCCCACAAGGTGAACTACTGGCCATAATGCCCATAGGAGGGAGGAAACAGGATGACACTGAATGAAGCATAATAACAAAATCCATGTTTAAGGAGAAAAAGGTCTAATCTGTATCAAAGCCATCTGAACAGGGTTGTTTTTTGGTTTTTTTTTTAAGGAATGGGAAGCCTTGTCTGACTTCCCAGGGGCCCTGACATAAATAAACATGGGAAGCTAAGTGCTTCCTTCAGAGCAGACCAAGCTCTTTTGCCAGGTGAGGTAATGGTAAAAGCTAATGAATTACTAGATGTTTATGCCTTCTTCCTCAAAGAGCAATGGGTCTGCCTAGCTTCTCTTGGAGACTGTTAGCTGGTACTATGCTGTGCTAGCAGGCAGCTGCCTTCACGGTTAGTCATTGATCTCCTCAATTGTTGGGGAGCCAAGAACCACAGGGAGAGCTGTGCCCCACGTGTTTGCCTCACTTATGCAGACCTGAAGGTCTGGTTCCAGGCATCAGAGGATATATCTTGCTTCCAGCAGACACTGAGGATGTGTGGAAGGCAAGTCAGGAGAGGACTAGCCTTGAGTGGAGTTCTTCCGTGGTGCTCAGGACTGATCCACGCGTGGACAATGCTTGGCTTGGCACGGCTTTATTCACTTCCACTTCTCGTCCTTGTTTTCAAGTGTATCTTGCATATGAAGAAGGTGACATGCTGTATTTAGACTAAGTGGAAAACAGAAAGTACCTTCTTCACAGGCATGTTTTCAGTTGCTTCTGCGCTTGTGTAAACCAGGCAGGTTAAATTACTTTTGGAGGCTGCCCAAGCTCTGTGTACGTTCCTTGGTTGTTGGTGATACAGCACACATGTGGCTTCCCTCTTCTACAGTCGTGCAGGGAGCAGCTTTGGTTTTGCTCTTGGGGTGGATTTGATAAGAACTGTGACTTGGATTGTACGTAAAGCAGTCAAGTTTCAAGTGGTGTGAAAACGAACACCTTCATGAGATAAAAGCATAAGATTTCACTGGTGTGTGTGTGGTTAGTAGCAATACTGCATTGAAGTCGGTGCCAGGCATCTAATTAACAGTTGTCTGCTGGCTTGTTGTCTGGCACATGGTAATCACTTGCAGGTAGCCCAGTAGGTATGGGGCTCTCAGTCACCATGTTATCAGGGTGCCAATCACTACTAATTAGTGGCCAGCAGCCCTCTTAGCTTCCAATGAGATATCCACTCTCAATTTACAGACTTTATGTAAAAGTAAAGATTTTTGGGGTTATTTTTTTTTTTTAATGTAAAAAGCTTTATTGATACCTTGACTTTGGGATTGCAAGTTACTATCTCATGCAAAAAAGACAACTATCTCTAACTTCTGCTTCTGTTTTGTTTTTAAACCAGTACAAGCAATTAAAGAACATATCCCTGGGGACGCTTGGTTATGAACATGAAGGATCAGGTTTAAAAATCTGTAAACAACAGTACAAGAAAGGCACGATGCTTCCTTCCAATGATACGCTGAACATAGATGTTTCTACTGAAACAGGTACAGTACTGTTGTACTAAAAATGTCTTGCTATGGAGAACTTACATTCTAATGGCAAATCAGCAAAGTTTAAAACCAATAGCTTTTTGCATGGCAATCATTTTGCCTATTTCCCTCTTGGTTTATAGTACCTGCCTAGAAATGACAAATGTGAGACTGTAAGAAGCTCTTTTCAACTGAAGTCATTAGTGGGTTCTGGGTGGGTTTTGTGTTCTTGTTTTGGTTTGGGTTGGTGGTTTGGCTTTTTTGTTTTTTTTTTTTTTTTTTTTTTTTTTTTTTTTTTGTCCCCTCCTCCATGCAGAAGGCTCAAGTACAGAATTCTGGATGCGGGTCAGCCTCTGCTTGCAGTAGATGGGTGTCCTTACCACTGCTCAGTGCTGAGTCCTAGCTGTTGGTCTCTCAAGATTTACTACGTGAACCTGGTTCTGATTGCACTAGCTGGGGCTCTCTGTGGATAGATTTGCTCAAAATTAACATTTTGCCCAATTAGGACTTGCCATTCAACCTGATTATCTCAGTTTTATGTTGCTTTCTATGTGAAGTTTTTAAGATTACAGCTTTTCCTCTTCTCCTCCCAGAATGTATCTTTTTTAAGCCACAGGAGCTAGCTGGTAAGAAGGCTGACCTGAAGCTGAACTCCTCTTTTTTCAATCTTGAATTTTACAGGTAAAGTGGTGGTGGGGATTTGTCCTTTCATATGAATATGGTGGATTCTGAGTTGTGCGGTTTCCTTGCTTTGTGTATGTGTGTATTTTTGTGTGTTTTTATATATTTATACGTTTTTTTAAAACATCCAGGCTTATACAGGTTGAAATCTCCTTCAAGCTGAAAGGCATTGCTCTACAGACAATCCATGCCCGTGAATTGCCTGACTGCTATGCATTTCAAAACACTGTAAGTGAGTACAGGGTATGGCACTTCCTACATGCTATACATTTTACATTGCTATACATGACATGTTTTCAAATTATGTCTACACCAACGCTTATGGCGACAGCTTTCTTAAAGCTTACCTGACTAACAAATAAATACTAATGGTTATTATGTCAAAACACTTACCAAGCTTTTTTTATGTATTGAGATGTTGTTAGTTTTGTTTCTGATATACTCTTATGTTTCCAGATAACTTTCAATAATAGAGCCCACAGTGGAAAAATCAAAATCTATTTTGATAGTGACACTGATATTCAAGAATGTAAAGACTGGCACATATTTGGCTCTGGTAAGTATGGTGCACGTGTATTTGCATGATAGCAGTGTTACACATCATCTCCTGTCACTTCCCCTGCTCTGTAACAGTCTGTCTGGCAAGACATTCCCCATCCTGTTCATCAATTGATATGAGTAAGCCAAGGAAAACACCTGATGTGGGTTCACATGATGGCTCATAAACCTGTGGATGAAAAGAATACAATACTGAAAGTCAAACAAGTTTCTGATTGCTGGTCATGAAATGAGAAATGAGGTGGGATATTTTTTGTGAGGTTTTAGTTTAATAATTTTGATATGGGCCAAAGTCTGCATTTCTTTTACCCTGTGTAGTTGTAATACTGTTGGAGTACAGATGAACAGATGCACTTAATGCAAGAAGGGGACATTTGTATTAATATACCCATTTTTGGTTTTATTTTGAAGAACTTGAGCATGCTTTTCACTCTTGTGGCCCAATCTCCATAATTGTCTTGATGTAATTCTCTGGTGAGTTGTGCTCAAGACATGCTTGCAGAAAGAATATTTCTTGTAACACATCTATTCATGGGGTGAGAATGTTTAAATGAAAAATATGTGACCTTTTTTAACCATTTGTGCTTAAAGAGATGTGAAAAGACTAACTCTACGTCCTCTTTACAGTTCTCCAGAAAAACACTCAGTATATTCTGGTCTTTGATGGATTTGTCATTTTAAGTTGCTTTGCTTCTCTCATCCTCTGCACACGATCCATTGTTCTTGCCTTGAGACTACAGAAAGTAAGTACAGTGTTCATAATCTCAGTGCTTATTTTGTTTCTGTCTTGTTTGTTGCTAGTCTTGTCAAGTGATATGGTTTGAAATATTGGGTAGTGTATCCTTTGCAGGCTGTTGCTGTCTTACTGTGTCTCTAGAAAGGACGTGTAGATGTCTGAGTGGTTTCTAGCTGAACGGGTTTTTATTCTGCTTCTGTAGTGCTGTAATATGAAGTATTTTGTTATATCTCTTGATGGTAAAAGAAGGAGACTTTTGTTTTGTTTTGTCCAGGACTTAATTTTGTCAAGGATTTTATACAAAAACCCCCAACTTCTGAGTCTCTGTGCTGCTAACAGCCAACACATCCTGCACCTTCAAAAAGTGAATTCTTCCTTCCCTAACTTCAGAGTAGGGTTCCCACAGAGGTCTTGTCATAAATTAATGCTTTAATGAACATCCCTCAAAGCCAGCTCTAAGTGGAGAAAATGTAGAGCATAGTATATAGTCTAACTCTGGCTGGGTGTTCTTGTCTTTCTGGGGCTGGAACTGCTGTTTTTCATTTCTTCTTTCCTTCTTCTCCCTCCACAATCCCTGCTCACCATCTGCTGTCACCTTCTTCCCTGCTCACCCTCCTTTGCAGACTGAGACTAACCCTGTCTGACTTCATCTCAAGCTGCTTGCAGAGCCTCATGTAAGCAGACTGGTCTCTTCTGGTCCAAATGCTGATGCAGAAACACAAGCTGAGCCCTGAGATGTGTCAGCTTATAACCATTAAATGATACAAACTTTGCAAGCATGTGGCTTATGGGAGTTGGAAAAAGGATAGGTAGGATGTGAAGACACAGAAGTTTATCTTTTTCAGTATATCCTTTTTGTAGCTTGTAAAGAGGTCACAATTCAGCAAAGGTGTTCTCGGAGTGCTGCCAGGAATAGGGACATCAGCTTTTATTCATGAGCAAAAAGAGCAAGTGAAAGGAGTGTTGGGTGTGGAAAGTGACATTGTTGGCTCTATTGGAGATGAGACCTCTCGTCTTGTAGGTGTATTTGAGTTATTAATTCTCTTTTCCACTCCAACATTTGGGTGGCCTTGCTCTGTTGGAAGTGGATAGAGACTTCTGTGAAGGGAGCTAAAAAGGGGATAATAAGCCATTGTTAGGCTCTTGGGGATTGGTTATGAAGTCAGCTGTTCTGTGGAAAGTTGGTTTTCGCTGGCCTAAACCAATCTTAATTTTTTTTCCTATTTATTTCTGTTGCTATTGAGAATGAGTTTTAAGCTCTTATTCCAGCAAATACTATAGGGAAAAGGGGGTGTGTGAAACTTGAGCATTGCTATACTACTCGGGCATCTGCACATATTTTTCATCTAAAGTGACCTGTAACTAAACATCTAAATGCTTGTCAATAGAGATTTGTGAACTACTTCTTGGAGAAATATAAGCGTCATGTCTGTCACGCTGATCGCCTGGAGTTCATAAATGGATGGTATGTCCTGGTAATTATCAGTGATGTGATGACAATCATTGGGTCAATCCTAAAAATGGAAATAAAAGCAAAGGTGAGAGTTTAATACTTCAGATAAAATACTAGTCTTGTTACAGCCATGTGTAATGTGTTTTAACGCGGGGACAAATAAAAGTGAGCTATCATAGTCACTAGCCATCTTCCTTACTTTTGCTAGTTCTTATTTCTTCATTTCCTAGTGCTAGTTTGACTGATAACTAGTTTCAGTCCCTTTTCCCCAAAGTCTTTCAGTAAGACCATGCAAGCTATTTAAACATCTTATTTACACAGTGCTAAGTCACCTAATCCCTTGTATAGGACGTGTGGGTAGACAGTTCCTAAAAAAACCAACCAAACAAAAAAAAACCCAAAACAAAACAGAAAAACAACAACAAAAAAAAACCCAAACCCAACTTGAGTTGTGTTATTTCTGTAGGAAGTAGTAGCACATATTGTACAGGGAAACCAAGAGTCATCCCCTTGGATAAAACAGGGGTCTCTGGGACATGTGGGACTGGAAACATGGCTGCTACAGCTTGCTCTCCTGGCCTGTCCAAACTACAGGTACAGACAGTGTCACCTGCTAGTCCTTGACCTCCCAGTGTGGGCTTGCCGAAATCAATGTTTTGTCCAGCTGGCAGCTCTTCAGGGTGTCTTTTTTTTTTGTTTGTTTGTTTAGTTGGTTGGTTTGGGGTTGATTTGTTTGTTTTGTGGTTTTGTTTGTTTTTTTTTTCTTCAATAGAGCTATATGTCAACAATTCGTATGTTCACAAAACTTTGTATTCTGGGAAAAATGGGGTAGGTAGTGTGCTGCTCCTGCTTCATGTGTACTAAGGCTCAAAGGGCAGATGCCCAGAGTGGCCATCAGAGGAAGCACTTGAGAACCTCCAGCTGTATGCTGAGGTGGGGGGGATGAGAGTAGGAAATCTTGAGCTCGATGAATATCTGTGCTTATTGCAACCAGTTCTAGCCTTCTAAAGTAAAACGCAAGTGGAATTGGTTATAAATTTCACTGGTAGTAAAAATTAAGTTCAGGCTCCAAACAGCTGGCAACCTGTTCAAAGCTGTAAATGCATGTAGGCACGGAAAGGGCTGTAGTCCCAAGGCTTGCTTTTCACTTAAATGATGGCTCATGTTTTACTAAATATCAAATGAGAGCTTGTTTGTCTAACAGTAGCATATATTAACCGTTTTTTTAAACAAAAATTCAGAGATACTTGATCTAATTTTAAAACTGTTATAACCAAGGTAAAGGCTTTAGTTCTTCATGCAAAACTGCAGGAATATCAGTGTAGATGTGCTTGCACTTGCAGCACTATTGCACGTGGATCACAGAATCACAGAATGGTCAGGGTTGGAAGGGACCTCTGAAGATCATCTAGTCCGACCCCCCTGCCAGAACAGGGTCACCTACAGCAGATTTCACAGGACAGCATCCAGGCGGGTTTTGACTGTCTCCAAAGTGGGAGATTCGACAACCTCTCTGGACAGCCTGTTCCAGTGCTCTGCCAGCCTCAAAGTAAAGTTCCTCCTTGTGTTTAGATGGAATTTCCTATGTTCAAGTTTGTGCCCATTACCTCTTGTCCTATCACTGGGGACCACTGAAAAAAGACTGTTCCCATCCTCCCGGCACCCTCCCTTTAAGTATTTATACACATTAATAAGATCCCCCCTCAGTCTTCTTTTCTCCAGACTAAAAAGACCCCAGTCCCTCAGTCTTTCCTCATAAGAGGGACGGTCCAATCCCCTAATCGGGTGACCTCTCTTGACCTGTTGGCCACATTCTTCTTGATGCACCCCAGGATGCCACTTGCCTTCTTGGCCACAAGGGCACATTGCTGGCTCGTGGTCATCCTGTTGTCCACCAGGACTCCCAGGTCCCTTTCCACAGAGCTGTTCTCCAGGAGGTCAGCCCCCAACCTGTACTGATGCATGGAGTTATTCCTCCCCAGGTGCAGTACCCTACACTTGCCCTTGTTGAATTTCATAAGTTTCTTCTCACAGGATGATCTCACTAAATAACTGCAGTCCACTTTGGTCTGATTTTTGTGATGTAGCAACACCCTTGCAGTATTGGACTGCCCTGCGTTGTTTGTTTGAACTGCTGGAACTTGAATAGCTGTCAAGCTGATGTGCCTACTGGTTTGTAACTTGACCATCTGCTCTGTTTGGATCCCTCAGAACCTCACAAGTTACGACGTCTGCAGCATTTTGCTTGGAACATCAACCTTGTTTGTCTGGGTTGGAGTCATCAGATACCTGGGATATTTTCAAACCTACAATGTAAGGCAGGAGTCAAATATTCATCAATTAAAGCAGGTGTCACTCTTACTCAGGTCTCTAACTTGTGGCTTTTTCCCCTTCTCCTTTCTTCTACCCTGATGCATAGGTGCTCATTTTAACTATGCAGGCGTCATTGCCCAAAGTGCTAAGGTTTTGTTGTTGTGCTGGGATGATTTATCTTGGTTATACTTTCTGTGGTTGGATTGTCCTGGGACCTTATCATGAAAAGGTATGTACTTCTATTCTGGTCTGATGTGCGAATATCTGTGTGTGTATTGTTCCTAGCTGTAACAACAGAAATAGTTCTTTCATGGTTTTGTTTAAAAGCTGTAACATGAAGAACAGGGGAGTGTTTCTCCTTCCATGTGTACCTTCTGCTGCCTGCTCCGTTTAACAAAATAACTGTATTCTTGCTTTCACTGTGTGCTTGAACTCAATGTACTCTCAAACACAAGGCTGTGCTTGTGATGAGCGGATGGCTTGTCCAGGCAATGCCTGGTCTTGTTGAGGACTAGAGGGAAATTTGGTCTATTATCTCTTCCGCCCTCTTCTGGCAATCCTCGTTCACTGGGGTTAGAGGCACTAGTTCACTGTCACCGTTTCTGGGAATCTCCTTGACTCTGACTTTGTTTTTCCAAATCTTTCCTGTGCCGTGTAACTTTGGCTCCTAAATCTTGACTCCTAAATGGGTGGATGAATGTTTGTAGTGTTTACTTGGCTTCCAGTAGGGCAGTGTTTTGTTTGTTTTGTTTGTGGGTTGTTGGTTGGTTTGTTGGTGTAGGTTGTTTGTTGTTGGTTGGTGGTTGTTTTTTTTTTTTTTTTAAGGTTGATAATGAAGTGTGTGCCTGGTATGTCATCTTGTCTGAAACCTGGGGACAGCAGTAAGGCTTTGTGTATTCCAAAACACAAGCAAAAACAACAGCAAAGCTTGTTTGGGTTTTTTTCTTGGCAGATGCTCTATGTGACATGTGTGTGTGGTTTTTTTTTTGTTTGTTTGCTTTAAAAAAAGGCAGATTCCTGTTGTGATAAATTCTAGGTGTCCATTAATCAGTAACAAATGTATGACTCTTCATTCTTGATTTCTGGTTATACACAGTGTGTGTATGTGTATATATACGAGTGCACTCTTCATTCTTGATTTCTGGTTATACATAGTGTGTGTATGTATATGTGTATATATATGAGAGTGTGTATATATAGTGACAGAGAGACATGCTGCAGTGCTTGCTTCAGCTTCTTGCACCCCCAAAGCTCAGATTCCTCTAAAATAAGGTAGTTCTCTCCTTTGAGAAATGTAGGTATTCAGTCTGCACATATTTTAAGTTCATGACAATACATTTCTCCGTGGGATGCTGGATGCTGTGGGATTCTTACTCATACCAGAGACTCAATCGTTTATAACAGGCACAGCATAAATACTGTTGTAACTTCCCTGCAGCAAGTACATTAATTATCTGAGCAAAAAGGAGTGTAGTCAATCATATGCTTATCTATGAAAATGTTACCCCTTGCTAAAGATCGCAGATGTTGCCAAGGAAAGCAACTGCAGTTATGTGTGGGGTTCCTGTTCCTGACAGTTCCCCAGTACCCCACTGGAAGGCAGTGTGGCACCGCACAAAGCAGGCGGAGCCCAGCGCTGGCTTTGCCGGGCTCTCTGGCTTTAAAAATAGATGAAAATAACAATAATAATAATAAGCCGTAGGTAAGACCAGAGCTGCTATTCCTGTGCAACAGTATGTTCTCCTTACAAGCATATGCCTCTTGACATCTTGTTTTTGATAGAGGAGTGCAATTCATGTGAGTGTAGTCATGTTACTTCATTGATAGTATTGTCATTACAACATTGTGCATTAATTCATATTGTCCAATAAGGGATAGTTAACAAATTCAGTTATTTGGAGGGGCAGAGGGAGGAGGGGAAGTGTGTTTACTTGGACGTTGAAGGGAATTTAGCCTAAAGGAGCTTGAGGAAACAGTTAGAAATTTAAGAAAATGTCCTTGAAATGAAACAGCGGTTTTGTCCAGGGTGCATAGTAGCTTCACACTACAGCTATAACTTGTACTTGCAGCTCGGAGAGAGGGTTTTCTGAATGACAGATAGATGATGTTATTGCAAGACAAACCTAGTTTAGACCATTTGAGCTCTGAAGGCTATACGCTATCTCTAACTTATTAATAAAATATTGATTAATTACGTATACTCCAGTAATGCTGCAGAGATGGGAAACCAGATTCTGTTCCCAGCATACTGCCACTGATTTACTGTATAGATTCTGTATAATCACTGTATCTATGTGCTTTGGCAAACAGAATGATATTTTCCTGCAGGTCTAAAATAGCTTAAAACTCAGTAACTTAAACTTTCTGTGGTGGTCAGTTACTAGCTGTTTTGCCTACTGAGCACCACAAGTTTATTTCTTGATAGTAAATCTTATTTCTGATATCAAAGTATGATCCTTAGCCAAGATTGTATTTGTACATGCTCTGTTACTGACATGTATGTTTTGGTCTGAATGTACAGGAAAGAGCGTGGTAGCACTTGATTGCCTGGGTTGGCTTTTTTCCTCCTGCTACAAGTAAAACTCTTAAAAAAAAAAAAAAAAAAAAAAAAAAAAAAAAACAAAAAAAACCCCCCCAAAAAAAACAACCCCCAAAAAAAACCCCAACCCAAAACCAACCAACCAAAAAAAAACCCCCAACCCCCTACTTTTGTTTTTTAATAACATTTTTCACTTTCCCTTTAATCTGGATGACTGATCTTCATGTTTTATTAATAATTTCTACTTGCTGTTTTCTAGTTTGAAGATCTGAACACGGTGGCCGAGTGTCTGTTTTCTTTGGTCAACGGTGATGATATGTTTGCAACTTTTGCCCAAATCCAGCAGAAGAGCACACTGGTGTGGGTGTTCAGTCGGTTGTATCTGTACTCCTTCATCAGTCTGTTTATATACATGATCCTCAGCCTTTTTATTGCGCTCATTACCGACTCCTATGACACCATAAAGGTAAAACATTCATTTTCTATTGCACATCTAATCAGTTTTGTATTCATTTTTGCTAATCACTCAACACCATACTATCTAGCATTAATTATGATGATGACTGAGACTATAAAAAATCTTTTTGCTTCGTCTGTGGCAAAATTGTGAGGATGACTGGGTAGTCATCCAAGTGACTAAGCAATAATTGGTTTGAAAAATCATCCTAAGAGCATGTTCCTGTTTTGTATTTTCTGCTGCTTAACCTGGCTTCAAAAAGGTGACAGCTAATGAAAATGTAAGTGGAAGGTAATTGAAGAAGGAGTGGGAAGAGTCAATTTTTAAGTATAGTTACAGAGCTGGATAAGTCTTATTTGGAGGGAACACTTCTTGTGGCACCAGAAGCTGAGGTCAGGAAGGGTTTGCTGGCATCCCAGAGAATATTCCCATGGCAGGAGTGTGGCAAGGGCTAAGTTGGATAACTCTAAACTCATTGAGGTGTCCAGGCTTGCTTAATGCACTGCTTGGAAATGTGTGGTTAATAGGAGATGTGTTCCAAAAGACTCAGTACTTCTCGTTTAAGTTAAAATTGTGCTGTCTGCTTCTAGTATAAACTGGCTGAAAGTGAAACAAAGTTTTCAGTAATTATCTTTTGTTCGTGTCCTTCAGTGCTGTCTCCCCTTTGTGCTTCTGGTAGCTGCAGTAACCAGTGGGAAGAGCTGTTGTCCCTTTCTTGTCTTGGTGTCAGATAAACGGGCCAGCAGAATAAGGCTAGTCTGACATGAACCACGGCTTCCAGACTGAGCAAGAGCTCCACTTTCGAAGCATCTCAAAATATAACTTAACTGTCTGTGCTTCTGAGTTTATTGATGGTCTGACCTGTGAAATAGTGTTTTACTGTTACTATGCTCTCCGAGCACCCCATGTGGATGGACAGGGAGCTGTTTCAGTGTGCCGAACTGGTGTTTCGCAGAGCATTGCCTCAGCACAGCAGTGCTGAATATCCACATTAGGGTCCTTCAAATCCAGCATTAGGGTTCCTAGGGAAAATGAGCCCAGAGCACTCACAGGGAGCACAGCAGCTGATGTGAACAAGGGAGAAAAAAATGCCAGTATGACTTGAGATCACTTGCTTGGTCTTACGGACAGCAAACAAAATGTAAGAGGATCTATGAACAACATTAGTTTTATGTCACTTCTATCTTGCTCTGTTCCACCAGCTACATATGTGGTGTCTCTAGGATGGTGTGCTTTGGGTTTTTGGTTTGGGTTTTTTTTTCCCCCTTCCTACCACAATATACTGAATAAATGTACCAAATAGTTTTGGCTATCACAGTCTAGAGGAAATTTTAGAACACTTCATGTCCAGTAACTTCTCGTGTGTCGTAAATAAAATGCTTTCTTTTTTCAGAAATACCAACAAAGTGGATTTCCAGTAACAGATCTACATGAATTTCTAAAAGACCATAGCAGTGTTGGTTACAGAAAAGAACAGACTTCCATGCCATTCATCTGCTGCTGTAGGAGGTCAGTAGGATATTTTTAATGAGGGTTTTTCCTCAGAAGTGCATCAGTTGCACAGATGCTGGAACATCCAGAATTCAGGCTGTGGAATATTTGGACTCTGTTCCTCTTGTGCTTTACTTGATATTAGATCTTTAGTCTGCTGATGGTGCAGGGGCAGCAATTCTGAGCTTAAATGCATGTTTTAAGTTTTTTGCTCATATGAAAACTACCGTGCAGAAACTGGTGAAAGTTGATGGGATGTCTGCAGAGTATAATGTGGAACTGCCAAGGAGTCAGGAGCAAATGAAGTCTGTGCTGCTTAGGGTTTTGCAGGTCTTCTTTTTCTAAATAGCCTTTTCCACTAGGCTAGGAGTAGTAGCAGAAGGCAAGAGAATGTGATTCAGCCAAGGGCCAGTACTTAATCCAAAGCTATGCTGTGTCTGTGAGGCAAACTGTTTCAATGCCATTGGTCAGAATATTGGAAACACACTTGTAAATGTCTGGGTGTGACCAAACTCAAGCCTTTGAAGATCCTAGTAGTGGTCCTTTTTAAGCTGATGTTGGTGAGAGATGAACATCTCACCTGGTGCTTGCTGGTCTGGAAGTCTCTTATTTGAATACTGTTTCTGAGGAAACCTAACACACCTCTGAATCCCTGATCGAGAGAGGAGGGATCTTGTCACTGTCCCTAGACAGTCTGGAAGAATTCATGCTTGCCCACAGCATGGTCATGGGCACCATGCGAGGAAGCCAGGCTGTGGGAGAAGGAATAGAGCTGAATGTGAACACTGGTGTAACAAATCCTCTTTTAGCAGTAGAAGACTTGTCTACTTACTGAGGCTTTTGTGAAATGCAGCTTTATACTTTTGAAATAGTCTGGTAGAGGGAAGCCTTGTAGGCAGAAAGGAGCAAGTCAGATGATGATGGGCAGGTATCCCAGCAGTTGCTGTGGACACTGGGACGCTGACTAGTGCATGAGAGCTCCAGACAGGTACAGCTTCAGGTTTCACATCCAAGTCACTGCAGGGTAAGAGACATTAGTCTGCTTGAGCATAATGAATGTGCCTTACTGTAATATGCTGCAGAGTGTACTGTGAACAGAAGCCTGGTAGCTGAAGGACAAATCCTAGAGCTTTTGCTACTATCGCACTTTCTGTTTGCTTGCCCCAGTGCAGGTGCCGGGAGCTATATGCTGAAACGGGAGAGCACAGAACAGAAGGATCAAAACTCAGCTTGGTTTCGTATAGGTATATGCTTCCTATTGCATTTCTTACTGAATGAAAAATCGTGATTGATTTTTTTTTTTTTTTCCCTTTTGCAGACAACAGAGTGATGACAACTTGATACTCATTAATTGATGATTACACATTGAAATTCACCACTAATGTATGCCAAGAAAGTATAGTTGTACGGAGAAGAATAATTCTCCACATTGCAATGGAACCTACTCTCTGGACCTGCCTTATTGTGAACAGGCTAATCCTACCTAATTAGGGTGTTGGGGGAAGAAAAGCTGCTAATGAGAGACTGGCTGGCTGACCCAGAGGAGAGCCCAGAAGCTACATCTGGAGGAGAGCTGTGAAGAACTTTGTATTCTTGCCCCAAATTCTGTCACATTAAAGAAGGCTGATGCTTGAGCAGTGTCCATGGGAGCTCTGTTTGCTAATCACCTCTAGGAGGAAGTAAAGCAACCCCGAACCAACTGTTCTTCTTAATAAGAAAAGGAATTATATGAAAATATTTTTTTAAAAAGAATTCCATGTTAAAAAGTATTAAATAAAAGGTAGTCAGGGAGCAGGGAGGAGTTTTGCACTTAGTGATGCATTCAGGCTGTAATTTCTACTTGGCATAGTTCATTTCCTTGAAATAAATTTATGTAAAACTACTAAGCTGCACAAAAGTGCAAAGTAATTGCTGTTGTCCCTCTTTTATATCACTTTAACACAAACAATCTATAGATCACAATCTTTAACAGCTTTACTAAAACCAAAAGCAGTTTTATTGTCCTTTTTTTGGCTTTTCTATGATACCCACAATATTTGATGTGTACTGTGGCCAAATTAAACTTACTACTTTAGCTATAGGTAGATACTGTTTTTGCATGGTTGGAAACTTCCATGGCATGCATCATGTGAAGGATGATAAAAAAAACAAAAACAAACAAAAAAAGGCGCAACAATAATCTTTTTAAGTATTTCGCTGTTGTATTGCCACAACCTGGAGGACAAATTCAGGCAAAAACAATGCTGTGGAGTTGACTTGACTTGCCTAATTACTTCTATTTCAAGCATATGTTAATTGGAAGAAAATATGTAACATCTGAGCCTGGCAGTTGGTTTGTTCAGGTGATTGTCTAGGTGTCTTTACAGATGACCATCCTGGTTTTGGGGTTTTTTGGTTTTTTTTTTTTTTTCTTTGACCTTTATGAATTACTTTTTTTCAATGAGAACAGAACATTTTCTGTCTCTTTAAAGCACTTCCAGTATAGTATAGGTATTACCAGGTGCTTCTGAAGACTTTCATTAGTACTGACTGCCCTGGGGTGGGTTTGGATGGGGTTATCTACTCCCTAAAAGCAAATTGTCTGTAGCAGATGATGTTCCCCTCAGAGCGTTTTGGCTAGGACTCGGTCCTGATATGTGTCCTTAACTATTAATGATGGACTCTGTGCAAGTTCTGGCTTGTTAGTGTTTCAAATGGCAAAGGCAGTTTGAAATGCTGCCCTTGTATGAGTAAGGTGGGTGGCAACTTAGTTTGGGTCAAGAAGGAAACATTGCTGGTAAAACTTGAAGGACATCTTGACTTACTGAAAGCTGTTCTTAGAGAAGACTCCTCAAAATACTGAGTTACATCCCCTTGAAATTTGGCATGAAGAAAAGTATCAGAGGGGACCAGGAGTCTTTGATAGCAGTTAACCATAATGTAGGAAAACTATGGTCAGAAACTAACTAGAACTTGGAACAATCATGCTCTGATGCTGACAGGCAGTCAGAACAAAAACTCAACTGTTTTAAAAAAAAAAAAAAAAAAGGGGGTTGCAAACAGTGTGTCCAAAGTGTGTGTTTTTGTTAATGGAACTACACGTTTACCTGCAGCCCTAGATATAAAGCCTGATTTGCTGTCCTTGAGCAAAGATATTAGAAGTCCACAGTACTATCTCACCGAGATGTTCAATAGTGTTCCCACGAAGGCTGCAGTGGGCAGATGTTAAAGAATCCAGTGCAGTTGTAGCATTCTCGGCAGTAATCACCTCTGAATTGTGAAGGTGGAACAGTTGATTCCAGTGTGGACTAGCCTGAACTTGATATGAAGGGCAACAGAGAAAATTAATTGATTCTTGAATTTAATGTGAATAAATGCTCCCCCAAAGGAGGAGATAAATGCAGATAAATAAACCAGATGCCACCCCTTGCAACCCCTCTCCCCATCACCCCCAACTTCTGGGAAAATGGAGAGTGGATATATGGGTAAAATCAGTGCTGGATTCACACCTTTTTTGGTAGGTTGAAGAACTTTTTTTTTTTTTTAATAGATCTGTCTTCATTCTCTGCCTGTCCTCTGGGATGTTAAAAGAAGAGAGATTAATAACCACAGCTTCTCCAGCAGCGTTTCTGGCTGTCAGGTGAGAGCAGTGGTGACTGAAGTCTGGAAAGATATGCTGTCATTCAAATCTTTCTCCCCTAGTATTTGTCTTCCTGACAATGAATGCTTTGTTTGTTGGAAATTAATGCCATTTTGTCTTGCTTAGGCTGTAGCTAGATGTCTAGAAGAGGTGGTTTTCATGTCAGTGTTTTCATGCATCTAGGCTCTGCAAATTTTAATGCTTCTCTTGCTGAAACACCTTTGGGACAGAGAATTTTCTCCCCATCCCAGTCTGAGCAATGCCTTGCTGTGGCCTCAGCTGTCACTATAGCTTCTGGATAAAAATTAAGTTGCTACCAATAACCAAGACTTCACACTGTTAGCAAAGTTTTTTTCCGTAATTGTCTCTTCATCACACAGATGCTAATTGCATGATCTAGAACTGATCTGATTACTGTCTTCCACTCAGGACAGAACAGTCAATTTTTCATGTATAGAACTTCTTGGGGTCAGTGTTACTCTTTTAGCATCTGTTTTGGGACCCTGGATAATCCAAGTGCTCTTCTGCAGACTGCAGAAGTGAACAGCACTAACTGATTGCTAGCAGAGTTTCTTGGCCCACACAGTGTACAGTTTTTAATTTTTTATGTATAAGATGCTGGTGTTTTCCATATTTACTGCCATTTTACTGGTAGCTTTCTGGAATGTCTCTAAGAATCACAATTCCCTAGTAAACAGGACCAAAATCCAGCACATCTGAAAATGATTTGTATCTTCCTTACTGACCTACCTTCTGCCAGTACTTATGGAAGTCTTAAGTTAGAGACTTGAACCTAGAAAAAACAGATAATGAATATTATGTTAGTGGATAACTAATCATATAATGTGTTCTAGTATGTGTTACCCTGATGGCGCATACAAATACATCGGGCAGTACATGCTTCCGAGGGCTCTTGCTTGAGTGTGTGAGCTCTACATCTCTTTTGATTGTGAGATGTTGTTACTGCCCATGGCTATGAACTGCAAACACCACACTGAAGGAGGGCAAGTCCTTGGGCTTGGCCTTTTTTTATTATTTATTTTATTTTATCTCTTTAATTTAATTTTGCAGTGCTGTCTGAGGTAGGATAGCATGTTGTGGAAGTACTTTCCATTTTATGAACAGTATGACAGGCACATCACCTTCTGAGGTCTAGTGCCTCCTCTCCCTTACAGCAGGTGAGGTACATCCCATGCCCTTGGCACTGTGAAGCACAGTGCACCCCCAATCTCAGACTCAAACTGCTTCTTTCTAATTTAGTAGGACATCGAGTGTGACCTGCCAAAGCCGTTGCTCAGATAAATACTTGCTTGTGAGAAAATCCTCAGGGTATGAGGGGAAGTATTATCAACCAAAGGAATGTAGAAAATACTTCTAATTCTTACTGATTTTCAGAGTTAGTTTCTATAATGGAATCAAAGCTTGTTCAGTATTGATTTTTTTTATTATTATTATTATTTTTAATCATACGAGCTGCTTGCTAGCTAGACTACTGCTTCAGCCCTACCATATTAGAGCCAGGTCACTAATGTATTGTAGAAACCAATTTGTCTTCACCATCTGTTTGGTGGGGTTTTTTTATCTTGGAAAAAATATGAGAGCCAGTAGCTGGAGCTTCTCATTGGTTCTCTATTCCACTGAGGTTAGACTTAACAGGAAATTTGGCATATGTTGACTCCTAATTCTATGCATTAATACAGATTTGAATACAGTTGCTGACTGATAGGTGGTCCCACTCCAACTGCTAAGGTGATGCACAGTAATGGAAACCAAGCTGGAGCATAAGCTTTTGCAAAGTGTTCTCAAAATAAGCTGTTACTTTTGTTTGTCTTGTTTCCTGGGAATAAGAAGCTTTTGGTAATTGCTTACAGGACTTAAAAGGAGGAGAGAAATAGATGGAAAGGCACTGAGAAGGTTGCATTAGAAAGAAACAGGCAGGAAGGAGGAGAAGAAAACTTCCTGAGCTATTTTCAAGGTTTGGGCTGACATAAGACTTATCCACCCTCACCTGAGGGTGGATAAGACTTTGGGCTCTTGTTTTGGGGCCTACCATTGATGGATAAAACAGGAAAAAGCTGTTGGAGTGGAGGCTGTTTGGCATTTCATATACGTTCGCGTGCAAGGCTCCACCTAGCCCTTAACACTCTGTCTAGGTTTCATGCTGTGGTCATTATCAGGATTCCTGAGAAGTGGAGCAGAGACTTTTTGCTGATATTTTCTTTTGTCAGCTCTCCAGCTCTGAGCAGACCCACAAGTACCTCTGTACACCGTGGAGATGCCTGGTCTCAGTAAATGATTCCAGTAGGTAGCAGTGGGACAGATCCAGGTCATCATGATCCTCAGATAAATTTAATCTTGTACCACCTTCTGCATTTGGGTTTGGCTTGTCCTTCCTGTCAAAGGTGTGTGTGCTCGGTCCTGCCCTTTGGAGCTGGCACAAGCCTCAAGGTTTCTGTATCACTGCGTTGGGTATGAGGTGGTTCTTGTTTGCTTTTCATACCATGTTTAAAAGAACAGCTCCATGTGATGCTGGAAGGCAGTGGCAGGTATACTATACTGTCCTGATCTGCTCACGGAAGTTATTGCTGTCTTACCTGAGTTTGGCTTTTGTTTCCCAAAATATGGATGATGATCATCATCCCATCTGATGGGCTCTTCAGGCAGCAAGACCCTTTAGACTTCCACCGTTCTTGAGTTGCTCGAAGATCTTGCTCGTGTGCCTCGTCTCTGCCGGCG